GAAACTTCGACAGATTGTTCCCCTAACCAAGACCTTTCAAGCGGTACTGGACTTAAAGGTGTACCCCCTGTTCTTGGGGTACATCCAGAACTAGGGTGAAAAATGGTACGTTATAATTATGTTATGTGTTTATCTGAGGGGAGGAGACGTGGGGGTGTTACCCTGTGTGTAATTGGTTATTTTCATCCTCCCCCTGGGAGTATCCTGTGTGTACTTGTTCCTAATAAAAAGCAGGCTGGTTCTCCCAGACCTCAGATCTTCTTGACCCTTCAAAACGTAGCCTTGTCTCGTTCTTGGAAGGGGATTATTTGGGAATGTTATTCTGCTCCTGTTACAGCTGAACCTGACTTTTACTCTGGATATCGTGAATGGGATTATACCAGCTTACTTCTCCACAGCAGCTTGCAGGAAAAAAAGGACGTCTCCAACGGCCGATACCCTCTCTCTACCAGGGTAGCCGTTACATTGGTGGCAGCGGTGGGATGGTCCTTTTATCCAACAAACAAGCACTGAATGGAGTCACAGTATGCGAAGCTGAAAAGACCCACACTAAAGGATCTTTTGGAGAATCGTGGTAGGAGTGCCAGCAACAGACCACGGAGGGAGCTGATAGCTGACCTGCTGGAGCTGGACGAGATGGACAGGTCCATGGAGGTAACTGAACCCATGGCACCCATCAGCGAGGATGATGTGATTACTGCCATTGTGCAGCGGAGATTAGCTTTGTATCCAGTCACGTCTACAGAACTAATAACCCAACTGTTCCGGGAAGCAAGGGAAGAAATACAAACCAAGAGGGAACAAGAAACGGAACTGGTAAGAGCCCGACAGCTCACTACCCAGACAGTTCCCACCCCGCTACCCACTACTACGGTAAAGAAAATCCCCTTTACTGCATTTAAAACCTTTGTAGAAAATGACGAGGAAATTGATGGGTACTTGGCTGACTTTGAAAGGCAGTGCTCACTACATCACATACCGCCAGAGCAATGGGTCACTATCCTGGCGGGAAAACTGTCAGGGAAAGCTAATGAGGCTTTCCGAGCACTCACTACAGAGGAAATCACGCAGTACCAAAAAGTAAAAGAGGCACTGCTCACCAGGTATGCGATAACCCCAGAAGCATACCGTCGCCGCTTCCGGGAGTCCAAAAAGAAAGTTGTGGACTCCCACATGGAATGGGCAAACCGACTACAGAGAATAGCATCTCACTGGGTCCAAGGGTGCAAAGCCCATACGGGTGAGGAGGTGTTACAGTTGTTCTTAATGGAACATTTCTTCCAAGATTTGGCTGCGGACATACAAGACTGGGTACGAGATCGGCGCCCCGCCAATTTAAAGGAGGCGGCTCGGCTGGCCGACGAATATGCCAAGACAAGGAAAGTAAGCCAGGGTACTACACGACAAGCTCATAAAATAGAGCCACGTGCCCCAGCCGCTGTCTCACGCCCAGAATTTCGAGCTCCAGTCCCACCAGGACCACCACGTCCTCAGGGGCCTACTAACTACCCCCGGGATTTGTCAAAGGTGACGTGCCATCACTGCAGCAACCTCGGACATATTGCCCGGTATTGTCCCCTAAGATCTAGTAACAACAACTGGAGGCGTACAACTCCCAGCACAGAGGCCCCTGCAGCACGACCCGCTGCGGCTCACTGTCTGGGAGCCGAAATGGGCCCTGAAGAATGTCTGGGGATTTTGTATGAAGCAGACCCCATACAAGCTGCTTCCCCAGACAATCGACAACATCACCGACAGGAGGTTAAGGTGAATGGACAAGCAGCACAAGGCCTAAGAGACACCGGGGCTACCATCACTTTGATCCAACAGCACCTAGTGAAGCCGGAGGATGTGTCTACCCGCACTGTTGCTGTTCGGGTCACCGGGGGCGCTGTTTTTCGCTTGCCCACTGCCCGAGTACACTTAGATTGGGGAGTCGGATCAGGAAAGACCACCGTCGGCATTATGGACAACTTGCCTGCCGAGGTCGTATTGGGAAATGACATTGGACCTTTAACTTCAGCATATTTGCCCACACCTGCTGCCGCCTGTCCCGTAACCACCCGTTCACAGTCCCGTGTCGCAGATGATCATAATACAGGCCGGGAGACCCAGGTAAGCCAAGCACCCACATGTCACCCCACTACGATAAGCAGGCCCATAGCTTGGGACACCCCAGAGGAGCTTGGGAGGGAAACTAGAGAGGACCCCACCCTCCAAAAGTATCGGGAATTAGCTGACAGTGGGGGGGACGGACGGGAAAGTTTTCTATGGGATGGGGACAGGTTATACAGACTGGCTGAAGGCAGAAAGAGAGGCTGTGCCCCTTCGCAGAAGCGCCAACTGGTGGTACCCAAAAAGTACCGGTTGGAACTTCTCCGAATTGGCCACGACATTCCGTTGGCAGGACATCTAGGGGGTAACCGCACCACCTTCAGGATCACCCAGACCTTCTTTTGGCCGGGAATCTCGAAGGATGTGCGACGTTACTGCAGTACTTGTGACGTATGCCAACGGGTAGGGAAGAGAGGGGATCACCCTAAAGCTCGACTGCTACCTATGCCTGTGATCGAGGAACCATTTAGCAGGGTAGCAGTCGACCTAGTGGGACCCCTACCTAACCCCAGTCCCTCTGGTAAGAAATACATCCTTACCGTGGTGGACTATGCTACTCGCTACCCAGAAGCCGTCGCTCTGACGAATATCCAGGCTGACACTGCCGCCAGTGCTTTAGTCGGGATATTCACCCGAGTGGGATTCCCCCAGGAAATCCTGTCCGACAGAGGGACCCAGTTTACCGCAGACCTAACCCAACAGCTGTGGAAGGTCTGTGGTATTAAGTCCCTGCTTAGTTCCCCGTACCACCCCCAGACTAACGGTCTCTGTGATCGCTTTAACGGTACCCTAAAGCAATTGCTGAGGACCTTTACAGCGGAATACAGAGACTGGGAACGATTCTTGCCGCACCTCCTGTTCGCTT